AGTTCTTAAAACAACATTGCCCTCAGAATCTTTACCCTATTGTGTATGTACAACATTTTCTATAAATGTTTTTTCCCCCTTTCTTAGCTCCACCGGTTTCTGAGCAGAGTCTCGTTTAATAACAGTGCTGGGGAAAAGGTTGCCTTCAATCAAGATGGGGAGTTACTAGCTGGATTTGATATTATAAACTGGGTCACATTCCCAAACCAGTCCTTTAACTCTATGGTTTTGAAGGCAAAAACTGTAGAGATTTGCCCAAAAACTAGAGCATCCCCCTGACGTGCCCAACACAATGATATCACTTCTGGGTGATGTCATTGCAGCACGTATGTGAAGTGGGTACGCAGGAGTGCCCCAGAGAAGTTCCTGGAGCCCCCTGCTTGCAACCAGTAATGATCTGGCAACCCTAGTGAATATGCATTATTCATTTAAAAATGTATATGTCATGTTTTTCCTCAATGGAGATCCAAAGTGGCTGACAATGTAAACTGCAACAAAAACAATCATTCAGGAAAAAAGGGTAAAAGGCTTCTAAGCCTGAGCCAGGTCTTTCTCTCTGTCAAAAGGTCATCTTCCCAACTCCTGGATACAACCTTTATGTTAAGATCCGAAGGCCGAAAGCCATTGACTTGTACCACAGCTTTTGTGCCTGGTCATATGCATATTTTTGTCAGTCTAATAGTCTTGCGGGGGGGAGGAGTCATCTTGCCTTTGTATAGTTGGTGAATGGATGATTTTGGACAGAAGGGGGATTAGGAAGGAGTGATTTCGACCTAAGGGACTTCATGTGCACAAAATCCAGCTGTTGGATCTGGGGAGAGAAATGTGGCCTACTTAGTATTCATTTCTATACTGTCTGTCTACCTTCCATGGAGCTGAATGTGGTGCCTTCCATGAAGATAGTTTCAGATGGGAAGCCATGTTGGCTCTCTATAGTAACTTCACTTTCTATAGTAATTTTGTTGGTCTTATAAGTGCTACTGGACTTGAATTTTGCTCTTCTCATGCAGACCAACACAGCTACCCATCAGAAACTGTCTCAGTAGCACAGTTTTATTCTGACTTTTCTCCAAGGAACTCTTACACACTTAGACCATTTTTACCATGATGTTGGTTTATTGAATTCACTCTAGAGGACTAAGATGCACATTGCATTAATTATCCCTTTTAGTACTATCTGTCACAAGACAAAATCGGCAGACAAAGCATGCATATTCAATGTGTCCTTTATTTCCTCATCTACTACTATAATATTATTTAAAATAAATTAATAATAATTGTGTGCTTTATTGAGTTTATATCATGGTACTAATGTTCAGTCTTTTGATTCAATTTGACATTTTCATAAATGTAAGCGTATAATGATTAAAAGATGGTTTTGATTCAACTTGATGCTTCTCCTGCAGTTAGCAGGAAGAAATTACCATGCTTAAGAGCAACGGTCTGA